TTGCTGAATCGTGCTTTTGACAGCATGTTATAAAAAAACTTAGAACAAATTAATTTGCTATTAGTGAAAGATTTAACATGTAATATTTGATGCCTTGAACATCAAGCTACAATTTCCAACGTTTGTTTGCATTTTAAATAGTACCAAATGTGAAATATAACCAAAAATATCTTAAGTGGTACGTATTCGGCAACTCTCCCCTATATTTCAAATGTTGATAATTGAAAATCTATTAATTTATTATTTTTAGTTACAATCACAAATATTTACTAATTCCGGGATATCATAAATGTTATAAGTGCCGCGATGAGAAGATTAAAACCTTAAATATAGTGATACTTCCAGGCTTTTGTTAGAAACACTTATTTCGCGTTTCCTGGAATTATCGTTCTGAATGTTTCAAATATGTTACTCCGATGATACATTTTGAAACCTATTCGCGATTATTGTAAATATATCTCGATTCTACAAAATTGTTTTGCTTCTAAAGTATAAAAGCTTTCTTATTTCTCGTTAGCTCTCAAAGTCGCTTAAAGCCATTTAAATATGTGTGAACGTTGTAGTATCTTGCAGTCTGCTAAGTGTATGTCGCAAGCATGGAGGTAAGAAATAACAGGAGGGAGCATATTCCCCCGCGGCCTGGCTAAGCAGACGTAAGAGGAGAACATTACAAAACGCCATATTACTGTGGCCAACTAATCACATTTGGCGTAGTAATCCCGAACTCCAATAAAGTTTGTATAAAACGCCATATTACTGTGGCCAATCAATCACATTCGGCATAGTAATCCCCACCAACAAAAAGGCTTTACACTCCCTCCTGTTATTTCTTCCTTCATGGTCGCAACAAATAGAAAGTTAAGTACTTGCGGTGGTCGTACAATTTTCGTTGTTTCGTGAACCAAATTAACGGTATTTTGAGCGAGAGTGAGTCGTTCGAGCGAACCATTCGCGTTTTACGTAGTGAAATACGTAGAATAGCATGAGCAGTAACAGGGAGAACCCACCGGAAGCCGAGAACGACAAGAAGAATTCCTCCAGCAAAAAGGACAGCCCATCGGACGATAAAAAAGATGGTGGTTCAACTTCAACGGGAAGCAATGGCGGTGCGACCACGGGAGGACCGTCGCAACCCAAAAGTAAACACAGCTCCGTGGGCGCGACCGTCAGAGAAGAAGCCCAGAAGCTGTTGGACCTAGCGCCATACCTACAGGGAATGGGCTGTCGTGGACCAGCTGCTGAAGTCTTTGGAGAAAACTGTGCAGAGCGCTGCAGGGGAGAATGGCTTCATCGTACCGCTCGCCGGTGTTTTGGACACGGTTATAGTTTCCAAGAAAATTAAAAAATCTTAATCTCTCTCAAAGATCTTCCGCATATCATTTACATAACTATGTTGATGAGACCGAAGAATATCTGGCAAAGAAATCAATCAGATTTTCAGAAATAATTGCGAAAGTATGTAATATTTTAATTGGATTAAACGAATCCTTGTCACAAAAATGTCTACTCGCGGGAGACTTTAACAAGAAGTTTTAAATAGACGCGAGACGGTCAAACAATTATAAAAAGATTGCACGACAAATTTATTTTCCTATACAAAAATGTTTTCATTTGCAGACGACGGGGATGACGCCGTTGATGTACGCAGTGGAGGACAACCGCAGCGAGCTATTCGATCGGATGATCGAGCTCGGATCCGACGTGAATGCCAGAAACAATGCAAGTATTCTAGGACAAATAAGACAAATTGTTTGATAAACCGAGAGTCTTCATCCTTAATAAAATTCAAGAAATATTTATTTTATTTATCGTAATAAGAATCATATGTGAGCGGATAATTTTTTTTAAATATATTCCATTTAAAACCATGAATGAGAAAAATGTTTGATTCATTATTTCTTGACTCATTGTCATCGTGATAAATTCTTGTGCTGGGGTCACGTGGCATTGGACATAATAATACCCGCGAAGGTGCCACGTGTCACGAAACGTGTACAGCTAATGATCAAGTTACAATCTGTGCTAAATCAAGTTACTAACAAGTAAACCTACCCAAGTGTAACTCTCCAATATCTTTCAAATTTGGCATAAATGTAGAACTGTGAAAAATATTTTATTTATGTTTTTTCATTTTGGCTTGTGCGGTTTTAAGCTTGATTTTAAGGGCAATTATTATAATTTAAATTTTCACCCTCTTATTAGCTATAGACACAATAATATCTAATTATATTATAACATCTATCGAGATTTCTTTGAGATACGAAATATTAGTATCTCTAGATATAATATCTTTACGATTACTCCTAACACTTTTCGTGACATTTATAAAATTTGAGAAATATATCTTACTTGAGCAATAAAGTTACAAAAAAAAACGCACAAGTTCTCGAATTTTTTGAAAACAAAGTTTATTTTATGATTCAAATAAACCATATTTTTAAAATAATTAATAAAAATTGAAAAAGATTTTCCTCTCATATTTACAAATTTTTTAACTTTTAATTTCTTTATTTCATCATGTTAGGTAATTATTCTCGTATTATGAGTATTATGAGTAAAGTCAGAGAAAAAATCGTTCTAACTTACAATTTTTTTTTAATCTGATTTTTTGTCGTAGAAAGGAAAGATACCTCTTCTGCTAGCAGTTGAGGCTGGCAATCAATCGATATGCCGGAAACTTTTGGCACATCAAGCACTAGATCAGCTTTACGCCATTACGCCAACCGGTGATTCCGCCGTGCATTTGGCCGCTAGAAGAAAGGACATCGACATGGTGCAGATCCTCGTGGATTATGGCGCGGCCGTAAACATGCAAAATGTACGTTAAATTTTAAGCGCGAAGATTCCAGATGAATGAGCCAATAATAATCAGACGAATATATTTTGTTGAAACTTTGTCAATTGTACATTTCCGCTGAATGTTTTGAAACTCGCAAATTATACTTACGCTGTGATGTAAATACAATGCAAATTCTTTACCATTTTTGTCTGCATTTTGGTAAGCTACGTAATCGTTTAATATTATTCTCTCTACAGTGTTATGCCAGTCGGAAATAACCAATTAACTATTTTATCTTTTTAACGCGTAAATAAACA